ATATACAATGGCATAAGATCTTGTACCTGGGACTACTGAATGTAAAACAGATCTTCCAGTGAAATTGAGATAGTAGGCAGGATTCCAGTGTAGGGTAAGGAAGAAGTGTGAGTTTAGGATTTGGACAAAAGGCCCTTTTTGCAATGAAATGAATTTCTATTAGAGTGTAAATGGGAATGTCACCACACATGAAGAGTCAGTCACAACAAGGCACTTGGGGAAATAGATATCAATAGTGATGTTAGGAGATCTGGAATGTACAAAATGACTGACAAAATCAGGGATATTTTGAACAGGGGGTGGTTGAATTACCCTATCTTAAAAAGAAACAAGTGTATACACACCATAGGATTGAAATTTGAAAACAGTAGGCATCACAGATATAGATGATTTTAGTAATCCATGCTCTCATTAAAATGAGGCTTTGGTAGAAGAATAAGATAAGTGTGAATTTTGCATTTTGTGTCCAGAAGATGATGTGATGAAAGGAATAGATGGAGCAGGTGACATGCGTATTTCTTCCACTATTTCTGGGAACATGTTCTGAAACCCTATGATTTAGGGTTTGAGGATAAAAATAGGTGTACCTGGGTCTACATATATAGAGATGATGCATGAATAGACCATTCGGGGAATAAAAAACTATAACAGGTTACTATTTTAAATAATAAATTGAATTGATATTTTAAAAAATGCATGAAATCTGGTATTCACATACAAACATTCAATCCAAGTAGTCATACATCCAGTGGCATTTTATTTTTTATGTACTGCTATCTTAGATTTTAAAAATGATTTATCTAATTTTTCCTTTTACATCAAATGCAATTTGGATATGGCCATTATTATTACATAAGTAGACTAATATCAACATAACTAAAAATAACAAATTAATTCACTTTTTATTAGAGAAGAATTTTTTAGTAAATATACTATATGTATAATAGGCCTTTTAAACTCCAGTAGAAAGATGTTTTAAATGTGTGAATAATTTCACCCAATTTAATTCAATCATCTGAATAGGTTTAAATAAGTATGTAATTATAAAATAGCATAGGTGAATAGGCTTTAAAATGTTAAACAAAGAGAAAAGAATAGAGCAGAACATCCATGTTATAAATGCAAAGAAATGCCACCTTGGAAGTTGCACATTATGGGAAGAACAGTCAGATGTAGGTCCTTTTAAAAAACTACAAGCTTTAAACTGGGCATGGTGATACTGAGGGAGAAAACAAGAAACAAAAAGAACCAACCAAAATGGTGTAGGGAGGAGGTGTGGGGAAAATGAGAAAGGGTGAAACAAAACCCACATCAAATCCCCTCAGCCATACTGGAACAGAGGAAGCCAGAGGACAAGCTGGCATGAGAGCCC